TATTTTGGTGTTAAAGCAAAAGTCAGAGTTTGTTAAAGTTTATTTGTTCATTTGACAGTTTAAATATTAATTTAACATAAACTAATATTTTTTATTAAAATGTTTATCGTACTTTGATTTAATAGCTGGAATTTGTTGAATCAACTACTGAAATTTTTAGGATTACCTAAAAAAACTATTAAATTAACGTTTAGTTGCTCTTTAATCCAAAACTTTAAATTTGTTCATTTAACAAATTTAAAATGTTACTTTAAAATTTAAAATGTAAAATTTGCATTCATAAAATTGCCGAGAATGGCGCTTCGAACACTCACACCACGTCATTAGACAATGACGTTTTCTTACATCTCGCCTTAGTTGGCTTACGATTAGGTGTATATAAGATCAGATATCTGTTTGTTTTCGGTGTGTTCCAGAGTAGAACTTTCACTACACCATATTGCCCGACACTGTTAAGACCCTCAATACAGGGCGAAACAGTCTGTCGGTATTTAAAGTAGGTGGAACAAATGATACAAAGATGTATCATGGGTGGAACACGCTCAAAACAAAAACTCTGGGCGAGGTGAAGGTTCAAATATATAATAATATATTATTTCCATAATTTTGTTTTGGATACCAACCTTTAAAGAATTTAACATTTTCAGAATGTTAATTTAACATTTTATTGGTGTTAAGTGAATATGCTAAAAAGGTTACCTGGACATTTCAAGAAATTTACCTTAACACCCTAAGAATGTTAAATTAACCAAATTAGCAGATTAGAATAAATATTCTTATTTTGTTCATTTGACTGTTATTTGTTGTTCAATTAAACAATACAATTTGACATTTTTAGATGGTTAAGTAAACGCGCAAAAACCATTGCTTGTATTTAAAGTGCATAAAGAGTTGAATTAATATTTTTTTTGTTGTTTCAACAGCTTATTTTTTTCAGTGCATTGTATATTAAGTGGATTAATTGAATTTTTGCATATACTATTTATATTCGTAAATCTTGACACGCTTATTATACCTACCAATATACCATTTATATTATAAGATCGTGACGTCACGCTACCGCGAAAGATTTTTTCATTCTTAAGGAAAAATTGATAAAAATTGAGTTTCACAGTTATTTTCGAAATTATTTCCCAATCCCATTATACATTATACAGTTTGATAAACGTCATTTAAGTAGCGAATTTTAATCAAGCACAAGCGGGCTTGCGAGCGAGTGTTTGATAAATTGAGTATCTAGAAAAGTTTATAAACTAGTATTACTATACTATACTATATTTAATATACATAGTTTTTTTATTATAATTATTATTATTATTACTAAATCCGAGACTAAATCAGATATATCTGTATATATTTATATAATTTATGTAATATATTTGTATAGAACAACATATATACAAAATGGCAGTTACTTGTCAAAGTTTTCTGTTAAGATCGAAATGTGTCTATTGAAATGGACTAACAACTGTTAAAATGCGATATAGAAGCATTTTTTTACAGATAAAGTGTCAAAAGTTTCTAATATTGTAGGTTATAAAGTTTATCTAAAAAATATTTAAATATCATAAAATCAAAAGTTAAAAATATTAAAATATTCTTAAAAGTATAAAAAAAACAAATCTTAAATCAATATAAAAACTGAAAAAAATCTTTTTAATTCTGCCAAATATAGCACAATATAATGGGATATTTCGCATTGTATTGTTGGCAAACTTGCTTTGCTTGATTGAACTACAAAACGAAGTCTAAAAGAACAACAGAATTATTTAGACGGTTTCTGTGTTTTATAGAATGTAATTCTTTTGTGTTTATTGTTCAATTTCCATCGTTTTTACTTTTCTTTCGCGAAACCGTTCAATAAATACTAAACAATAACAAAATTCATAAAATCAACTCCCTTGTATTTTAACGTGGCTTTTAGCACTAAAATCAAGTGTGCCTATATATCTCCGACAATATCATGGCTATCGCGACAATAAACGCATTCGCATTATTCGGCGATCGAGGGGTTGATAAAACAGAACATTACGCTGTTGCAATTAAAAATTCCTCGTCACACTCATTATTGCCCTTTAAAACGATTTACATAACATTTTTTGCAAGTGCACGTGTCAAAGCGACAACGGAGGGGATGCGTAGCGAACCTTGAGGGACACTTTGCACCCCCCTTAAGTTTGCATTAGGATTAACAAAGTTAGTGATTGAAAAGAAACGGGAGCTTCAGCTTTTAACGAACTTATTACATTAAAAAAGGTATTGAAATGGTAATACGGTTTTTATGTAGCAGATATTCATTAAAGGCCCATCATAACGAGATTTCAACTTTTCTTTATCTTATACATACAGAGGGTTGTAGATTCAATTAGTCAATCATAATAAAAAGTGGTTGTTTATTTTGACAGACGTCTTTTGTTGCTTGAAAACATCTCACAATATTTAAAGCGAACGTCAATTATAGCATTGAAGAAATCTTAGTAATTATCCACTGACTCGTAAAGTGGTCGAAACCATGCAATTAGTGTTTTTTACTCGATGCGTTTTATTCACACTTTGCAATTAAAGTAACGATAAAAATGATTTTTAAAAGCAAAAATTATACACTCAACAACTTCTTCTGTCATCTCGGGCATTTTAAGTGGCATGCAGATACGGGAATTTCATAATTTATGTTAAACACTGCACAAATAATTGTAGAAGAAGAAACAAAGTTGCCTTAGTTTTATATTATAATTTAATAAGGTTGGGATGAAATATGTTATATATATATGGTATATAATGTATAGGTACCATATATCACATATATGGTATACCATTTCGAGTTTGCAAAATGTACATGCACTGTTAATGAAACTAATTTTGTAAGCGATTAATGAAATAATATTATTTAACTTAAATTTAAAATTGTACACAGAAAGAAAAATTTGATTAATAGTTAATAAATATAAGTTTAAGGCATATATGCTAACATACAGTATAGCAATATACTAAATATATTACTAAAATTATTTTAAAAATTGTATTCTAAATAATAGAATGTGGTTTTCTTAACAGTAACCTGGGATAAGTTAAAGGCTATTGATTTAATGTTAGTGGATGTAGGTTTGTTGTTAATATACTCAGTTTGTTCCAAATATTTATGAAAATATCAGAAATTATAATATAAATTGGTAACTGTTATTTTATGATAAATAAACTTAAACCTTGGTATGCTGATATTAAGTTTAAGTTGCAATAATTATCAGCATTTGAATGTTATTGCAAAATATAATATTCTTTATAATATCAATCAAAAATTAACTTTTAGGAGATAAATTATAACTATCATTATAACCGAGTTGTGCGAAAAGTAAAAAGGTAACTATTAGCGAATGAGTTATTAACAGCTGATAGGCATGATGTACGCCTAAGTCAGTGCACTGAGAATACTCTTGCGGTGAGGTTGATATAATGGCAGGCCAAAATTAGAGAACTTTGGGGTTTGTACTTACTTATTATAAATATCTAGTTTTGCTTTTCCAAAAACTGTGCCATATAGGAGATATGTCATAATTAATACGCCGAAATCGTGTTTTTCCACCATGATAGAAGTAACAAGCGTTTGAACCATAAGGTTTTTTGTTGTTAGTTAATAGTTTATATTAGTATTAATAATTATTATTATATAAATTGTTTTAATGCTGGTGGATGTACATAAGTATTATTTGTTAAATTAAATTTTGTATTTATACTTTTTAACCATGCTGTTTGAATAATCATATCGTCGTTTATCTGACAAAGAGGCGTATCTCATTTTTTCTTATTTTACAGGAGAGCAAAAACAAATATTGTCCTGTTTAATAATCGCAATTAACAATTTGTTTATTCATATTTTTAATATGTTATTACAGAAAAGTATTGGAAAATAACTAAATTTTATTTCTCCAATGTTCATTTTGGTTTTTTGCGTTCGTGTCGGCTAAAAAAATTATAAAAAATGAGATACGCCTGTTTGTGAGATTTGTGATAATAAGAATAATAATTTGTTTTCAAGTTACGCCTACTTTACTGAACACGTTTAAGGTACCAAAAGTAAGTTTTAGCTTGAATTCAAATGCTATAATAGATAAAAATTTATACAACCAAAAAAAAAAGTTTATTCTCAACTACCTACACATTAATTATGTATGTTTTACAAAAATTATAAATTTTCATGTGGCAGGGAAATGTAAAAATCTTTATGTTCCTGAAGACGAACCACCGGCGTAGGTCCTTGGCATAATGATGTTAGAGCCTTGTATTTTTTTGCTGAAATTTTTGGTGGTTGTTTGTTTAACCTTACAGCATGTAAATTATTTAAATTATTTATTTGTTCTCGTTTAAGAACAAGGATACGATAATCCTCTTCTAAATGACTGCATTTGAAAAAAAATTTACCCAGAGAATCTTTTTTAACAGTTACTTCTGACATCATGGTCCAATTAAATTTTTCTTTGGGATTATCATCTTCTTTAATCGTTATTATTCTTAAATCTTTGGACAAAGTTTTGAAATCAAGAAAATCAGTTGATTCCAATTGAACAACTTCATAGGGCTGTTTTCTTCTTGCCAAAATAAATATTGGTATTAACTGACTGGGCAAATAAATATCACCTGATTTAGAAATTGCAGTGGTAATGGCACTGTGTGCAGAATCTCCCTCACTTTGACCATGACATTTTTCAAAAAATCTATGTGTTATTTCTTTTATATGCTTACTTTTGCTAAGAAAATACAAAAACATTGTCGGCAAAATAGAGTTCTTGTTTTGGCCGAAACATCCATCTGAAAAAAAGTCCACCGATGTAATACCAAGTTCATCATATTTTTAAAAAAATAATAGCACACAGGTAGCTATTTCAGATGATCCTCTTTTGCTTATTGCCTCGTGCCAGGTATAACAACTACAGTCTCTCGATGCAATGTTATAAACTGTAAAGTTGTATACAGCAAGTCGTTGTTTATAAAAGATTTCGCTCTCTTTATAATGGTAAATGTATCACTTGTTGGAGATCGAAAACAGCACATAATTTGGTTGAGTCAGACATTGCTCGAATTTTACTTAAGTTTTTTAGTTCACGTATTTTCTCCTTTTCTTCTGTATGCTTGTTAAAAACACTCTGGATTTTTCCCTTGTCTTCTTCTGACGATTCTCTGTAAGTGGCACAAAGACTGCACTGATCTTTTTTGGGCGAATGAAAAGAGAGGTTTTGAGATTTAAAAACTCTTCTGTATGTTATTATACTTCCAGGTGTTTGCAAGTCGCTGTCTTCTAAATATAATGCGTACATTTTTGGGATACTCAAATCGGAGTGTAAGTACTCTCTTGTAGTATTTGCTCTGCAGTAGTGGGACTCTACTCTGGGAAACCTTCTTATGTGCTTTTCCATTGCTTCTCTAATTCTTTGATAATTTTTTTGTAATGTAGGTCTTCTTCCACCTCGCCTTTCTTTGTCCATAATACCTGTTTCTTTTATCTTCCCCAAAGATGTACGCATTGTCTTCTCAGATATATTTAGTGTGTTCAAAAGAAAAATTTTACATACACAAACTTTTTCTCCTGAGAGAGGTAAATAGTATAAATTACTTTTATTTCTACGAGATACATCTTGAGTAGTTTTCTGCTTAGTTTGCTTAACTTGTATATGCCGCGCCAGATATTCTCGCTGTTGTTGAAGATTAGCTAGACTATAAAAATCTTGCAATATTTCCCTTCGCTGATCCTCTGAAAATTTCATACACATTCGACCACCAAGTCTTGCATCACAAAATTTTCCCTTGCATGGAGGTTTAACATGTTTGGGAGGAACAAGATTCATTGAATTAAGTTTAACATAGCCTTGACCTGATAAATGGAGATGTTTCTTAATGTTCTTTTGATTAGTTCTTTCTTTCTTTTTTCTCACCACTTCTTTTTCGGCTCCATCGAGTTGATAATCTTCTGGTATTTTTCGCTTATTAGATACAGACTGTTCATTGGTATCCATACTTGTATGGAAAGTACAAGAATCGTTAAGTTCAAAATGATTCCAACAAAGGAGCGCCAAGCAGGAAACACATGCAGCAAATACTTCTTGTCCACAATGACGGTGTTCACAACAATTATTGGGTAATTTGAATGATTGATCAGTCATAGTTTTGGTTGGTTTGGTTTTAACCTTTTCGTATTTGTTTCTATTTTTTGATAACACATCAGCGGTATCAGAGTCAGAATCATTACAAAGTTTTTTATCAAAAAAATGATTTTTACATATCCAAAATCCACAACCGCAAAAATTGAAACCCATTTTTTTGCATTTTTAAATCTGACAAACTTCCTTAAATGAAGCATCATTATCCGAGTCATCATCTGATAAGTACACGGTTGGTGATATTGACAGTGTTGTCTGCTGTAATAATGGGATATACAGTTGAATCCGTGGTCTGTAAACAAATTATTGATTGTAAAAAAGTAATAATTTTATATGTAAAAATACCCCATCATATTTTAAATCCACTCGTTTTGGAATATCATTGTTCTCTGGTGATTTTTCATAAATAATTACAGTGGGTACAGGCAAATTGACTGCAGGCTGTACCTATATAGAAATTGTATTAAATTTATTTTAAATTATAAATTTAATAAACTTACCTCCTCAAAAGGTAGCAAATCATTATTAGAGTTGACAATAATATTGTTATTATCGCCACTTTCGACATAACTATCTTTACAACATAGTTTGTCAGTATAACTATCTGTTAACAGTTCATTCGCAACAGGACCCGATTTATTTTGTTTTTCATCAACCAATTTGTTTAGTGAAATATTATCAGAGTCATCACCTAATTCGTTTTCTTCCTCAATAGCCAAAATCTTTCCGTAATACCACTTGCGCCAAAACAACATTTTCACTTTTACACCTTCTTTGAACTTCTGACTGGATTTTATTGCAAATAACTCATTAGAAACTACAACATTTTTTGTCCCATCTTTCCACTCCACAAGCACATCCATGATGTAAAAACACTATTAAATAGTATAAACTAGCACACAGTAAGTATGTAAACAATACACTATTTTTAGGTTAGACAATTTTCTTCTAATGTCAACGCTACCTTACATACAGGCGTAACTTGAAATACGCCTTTTTGTGAGACACACGCTAAAAGATGCACATATAAAACAAAACGGCGTAAATTAAATTACGCCAGTTTGTACGACACACAAAATTCAAAATATTAGTTACGCCGAAACTGCTTTACGCTAAAACTTTATTTGTATTTATCAAAGAGTTACGCCAGTTTGTGAGATTATAAAGTCGATTTTGGTGATCATTCTGGTATACGTAACTCAAAAACGCATTTTTTTGAGTTACGCCTTTTTGTCAGATAAACGACGATATGCTAACATAATACTTACTTTCATAGATTAACTATTAGCTGATGGAAAAATAACTGATAACTCAGAAAATTTGATTATTATAATAAAATACTAATAGAAAACCAAATAATATAACAGTTAGTAAATACAATATTTAAAATAATAAGGTAATTTTAATAGTTATTAAAGAGACTTAACTATTAATATTTCAAAACCTTTCTATTAATAAATAAAAGGTAAGATTAAGTACTTCTTTATACCTTGTAGTATTATGACTGTTAGTTCATATAGGTTTGGCAGAATACGAATCCACTACCTTGTATTTCTTTTTCTCTGTGTAATGGCTATAAAAAAATGTACCACCTTTTATTAAATTTTCAGTGTCTTATTGGACCAAAACCTAAGATTTGTCAAAGTAATGAGATTATTTTTATTTACAGAATAAACTTTTTTTACTGTTAATAAAATTCTCATTTACTATAATGAAGCAGCAATGTTGAGCATTTTTGTTCATTTTACTGTTGTCTTTTTTAAAATACTATTGTTTTGCAATGGTAACAAAATTTTTGTTATTTCCCTTAAAAAGAGGGGGAAAGGGCCATCGCTCTCCTTAGTGAACATAACTATAATCCCTGTGTTATATATAATATTATTGATTTTACTTGTGCGAGTGAAGTGTGGTAAAATCTAGCATGATTAAAATATCAGAAAATTAAAATTTCGATGATTTCTAAAAGAAATATTTAAGGTCTATTCCATAAACGAAGCAGACTTGTTGTTAAAGTGAGTTCATATTTTTTTTATTTTGTACATCATATATGAGTTAATTTTTTTTGTTATAATAAATAATTTGTTTTAATGCCTTGCAATTATTTAAAAAAAAAACTACCCAACACCCAACAGTAGGTTGAAAATGTGACCATTGTTACAATGACAATAGTTTATTGAATTAACAAATAATTTGTTGTTAAATTTACATCAATTTTAATAATTTTATAAAAAAAAGTTTTATTTTAAACGAAAAGGGATTTGTAAAATTTTCAAAATTTCTATAAATAATACCATTAGGGTTTCATTAATACTACAAAACGTTTTTGTAAACGGTATAGAACTGTTTTTTTGGACAAATAATAATAACTATATTTATCAATGCGTTTTTGAATCTGAAAGAGTGTTATTTTTATAAACATAACGTAAATTATTTTTATAATTAATGCAAATACTATTACTGAAAGCAGCGTTTGTAACTTGTTGGACGAATACTTACTTACTTTATTAAGACAAACTACTTTTATTGTTATATTTATTAAACAATTTTCTGTGTGTAAATGCGGCAAAATTTAAAAAAAATTATAAATTTTCTAAATTTTCCTAATTTTTTATAAATTGATACAAATTTTCATGTCATGTCCCCCTTAAGAATGTTGCCAAGTTAGTAACGTAAACTTTCCGTCGTATCTGATAAAATTCTTAGGGTGTGAATTAAACAAAATGAAGTATATAATATATTATACATGTTTAAAGTAAAAAATATGGTTCTAAATTGGCACGCAGCGAGCAATAATTGGAAGTGTCGGCCGTAATTGAATCAGGAATCTCGCGGGATAGAGAGAAATATAGTTCCAGTCCTTGGTTTAATCAACGGAATTCATAGGAAAGACAAATGAGCCCGCTTAATCTTATATTCTTACTTCTAACACCTACTTCGTTCAACTTGCAAAAAGCTGATTTCTTGACAAATTACCCGACCCGGAACACACGAGTTTACTTAATTTAATTAAAAATATGAAATATGAAACTCATGCTATGTTACGGTTCTCCTACACAATTAGTTCTGATGTATTTAATATAAATTAGTTTTAAGGACTTATGCATCAAGTTTTTTCTACGACAAATACAAATTTTTTATTTTAAAACTTTATTGGTTTTAAAATTTACTAACTAAAAATTTTAGGTTTAAATTTATAATTTTAATATATCTTCAACTATTGAAAGACAAAATTTACTAAGTAACAGTTCACTTCTGTATTAAACAATATTATTTCCAACCAATTTTTACAAAAATTTCTATATAACACTAGTTTACAGCCATTTTGCCCATCATGTCTCACTATTATTTTCTTGTGTAGTTTGGCTCACTAAACGCGAAAATCACACTTAATTTTTTTTTATGGAAGCGTTTTCGAGATATGAATTTTCAATTGTTTTTTTTTAATTTTCTGAGGTGTTTTGACGGTCTAGAGTATACTTCGAGTTCTAATTGATCGATTTGACCAAACAAGCACTTAAATCAAAGGTAATTGAGCCCTCTACAACTTTCTCTTGTATAGTTTTGGTATCGGCTCAGTAGTTCGATACTGGCGATTTTTTGAATTTGAAAAGTCCTTTTTTTTTTACAAAAATCGAACTCGAAAAGTTACATATCTTTCTGGGAAAGATAGAAATCGAAAAGATAATTCCAGATTGATTTATTTTACGTATAGATTATACTAAATATACTAAAAAAATAAGCTGCTGTTTATTAAAATCCATAGATAAATGGCGAAGTTATGAATTTTTCAGTGGAAGACCAAAATTCAGTTTTTCGAGAATTCTTCATTTTATTGAATTATATAAAATTTAATATTAAACATTGATTTTTATTTTAAACATATAAATTATATATTGAATGTTAAACAATAAATAATAAACATTAAAGAAATTGAAAGTTTAAAAAAATTCTGGCTCCTTCTTTGTTTTTTGTTGCTTTCGTATTCCGTCCATAGCCTTCATTTGCTGGTGAAAACGTTCTCCGTGCTCATCACTTACGTCGCCCAGATTGTGCGGGTTATTTACGCACTCGAACTCTACTTCTTTAACTCATTTTAGACTTTTTATTTACTAAATAAAACCATGATAAAAATACCTTGTTGAAACATCAAAAAATATCAGTAAAATGTCACTATAACAACACGAAAAACAAAAGAATTCACGTTTGCGGAGTCATGTCAAATTTAAATTTTGAAAGCAATGTTTTCGGTGAAAAAAGTACGTAAAAAACTCAAAAAATTCCAATCATGCACTTTATTTAGGTTTTCATTAAAGAATAAACATATTACAAAATAAAAGAAAAAAAATAAAATAAAAACCTGAATTTTTCCATGTATTTTTATCAACATTAGCTTGTTTTTTTTTGTAAAAATGTCAGCTTCACGAAAAAAATCAAACTGGAGTTATTTGTTTGATTTAAACCTTTCCCAGGACGAAATGTAAATTTTCGACCTCAATTTTTGCCATAAAACGATTTTTTTAAGTTATTAAAATCGCTAGCGTCAAAATACTTATTCGATATCAAAAGTATGTAAAATAAAGTTTTAGAGGGCTCAAATACCTTTAATTTAAGAGCTTCTTTGGCCAAATCGATCAATTCGATTTCAAGCTATACTCAAAAACGTCAAAACACCTCCGAAAATAGAAAATTCATATTTCAAAAACGCTTCCATAAAAAAAAATTGAGTGTGATTTTCGTGTTAAGTCGTGTTAATGGTGGGCAGAATTTTTTTTCGATTTTGTAAACTAGTGTAGCTACATGGCTGAAATTTAACAAATAGTCCCTCGTAATACATTCGCTTCCGTTTAGGCAATCTACAGCATCAAAATTTCGGAATAAACAACACCAAAGACGGGGCGTAATCAAAAGATGTCTTGCTTGTTATGTATTCCAAACCTGAACGCAATTTAGATTCGCGCAAACGTTAAACAACCTTTCAGATATACTTTGCAGCAGCTTTGTTT